AATATGTATATGCAATATGTATATGCAATATGTATATGCAATATGTATATGCAATATGTATATGCAATATGTATATGCAATATGTATATGCAATATGTATATGCAATATGTATATGCAATATGTATATGCAATATGTATATGCAATATGTATATGCAATATGTATATGCAATATGTATATGCAATATGTATATGCAATATGTATATGTAATATGTATATGCAATATGTATATATGTAATATGTATACCTATGCAATATGTATATGCAATATGTATGTGTAATATGTATATATAATATGTATATGTAATACGTATATGCAATATGTATATGCAATATGTATATGTAATATGTAATATGTATATGTATATGTAATGTGTATATGGTGATCATAATTTCGATACGTAATACAAAAAATTTAAAAGTACGAAGAAACAGTAAAGACCCGTCAAAACTAAATATTTGAAACTGATCGTACTCAAAAGTTGTAGTCGATTAATTCGATAAGAGAATAGAATGATTAGTCGTAGCAGACGTTGGTATTTCATAACGATCCTTTCCGTGCAGTTAATTTGACAACGAAAGGACCCCGTCGGAATAAACGTCTCGGGAAAATTCATTATAGCGACGGTTTACGATTGGACGAGGTCGTACGAATCGATACTAAACGAGTTATCGTGGCAGCCGACTAACTCGATTCGCCGACTCCGTTTTCCCGATGTAATCGTGTTAATATCGGTTCCGAAAACAGAACGGACCTGACCTCGGCCTCGAACTTCGTTAAACGGCACGCGTTAGTTTTCGCTTCGACGCCGAATCGGTTCTCGCGCGTTCTGCTTCGTTAGGAAAGAAGGAAGCCTTTTCACCGGTTCATTCCGCTCGGTTGTTGCCCGGTCTCTTGTTCCAGCATCAATCGAATTATTCGTTCGTCCTCTGCAAACTGTTGCTACTTCTCCGCTCGGCTGTCTGTCCGTGCAGCTCGCCAAACTGCTAATCAAAGCCTCCACGATTTAATTGCTCGTCTCTCGTGCTTCATTTGCACCGCTCGTGTTGCTCGCTTTCGCGTTCAATTGCCGTTCGCCAACGGGATTCAATTAGACACCATGGAACGGGCTAATTTACTCTCTGTTTTGTTCGATCGCGAACGGACACCGTGCATGATCGTTGCTAGTAATTTTAATTCCCCCGAATTTCGCAGCCGATCATTCGATCACTGTTCCACTATTTTCACGTTTCACTGCTTTTTTGCGGAGTTCGGGATTTTTTCAGATTTTGCGTATTGCGAATCGGAGAGTTGGTTGTTTGATAAATGGGGATCTGGCAGATTTGGAATTTGCTGGGACATTTGGGAAACGTGGAATTCGGGGAATTTTGAAATTCGGGAATTTGAATTTTGGAATATAGGGAAATTTCGAAGTTGGGAATTTGGAATTTAGGGAAGTCGGGGAATTTGGAATTTGGCATCTAGGGAATTTGGGGGATTTGGAATTTGGCATCTATGGAATTCGGGGAATTTGGAATTTGGCATCTAGGGAATTCGGGGAATTTGAAATCTAGGGAATTTGGGGGATTTGGAATTCGGCATCTAGGGAATTTGGGAAATTTAGAATTTGCCATCTAGGGAATTTGCGAAACATGGAATTTGGGGAAATTTGAAATTCGGGAATTTGAAATTTGGAATCTAGAGAATTTTCAAAGTTGGGAATTTGGCATCTAGGGAATTCGGGGAATTTGGATTTTGGCATCTATGGAATTTGGGGAATTTAGAATTTGGCATCTAGGGAATTCGGGGAATTTGGAATTTGGCATCTACGGAATTTGGGAAATTTGGAATTTCGAATCTAGGGAATTTGAAAAATTTGGAATTTGGCATCTAGGGAATTTGGGAAATTTGGAATTCGGTATCTAGGGAATTCGGGGAATTTGGAATTTGGCATCTACGGAATTTGGAAAATTTGGAATTTCGAATCTAGGGAATTTGGAAAATTTAGAATTCGGTATCTAGGGAATTCGGGAAATTGGAATTCGGTATCTAGGGAATTCGGGAAATTGGAATTCGGTATCTAGGGAATTCGGGGAATTTGGAATTCTAATTACTTTAGTTCCAAATGAAAAATTTCCACCAAATTGCAAGCAAAAACTTAACTAATCCAAAAATATTCTAAAACCGAGCACAATAAATCCCCTATAATTAACGCGCGAATAAAAAGCCTGCTTCAATCATTTGGAAATTTAATATTCTGAAAAGTGACGAGGTAAATCTGACAATTTTTCATATAACGGGTATCATACGTGATGAATGTTCTAAGTAAAAACAATTGATCAAAGTTGCAGGAAGAAAACGGGTATCGTGCCGAATACACGAAAGTGTTAAACGATCCTCGTAATAAGAAAATATCCGTCGCGAATTTGACAGGCGTGAATGAAAGCGGTGAAAATGTTCGGCGGGATCGTCTAAAAGGGGGAGGAAACGAAGAAGGAAGTCGACAGACGATACGCGTAATTTTCGCTAATGATCGTATTGGCAATTAGTTAAGGCCTTTCTATAAATCATCCCTAACTAATTGCCCTTTACACTCCCCAAGTCTCGAAAAAGACCACACGGGCCGTGACTCGGAGAGAACCTCGCAGTTCAACGCTAATTATTATCCCCGTACGTGATAAATTAAACTGCCAGACGCCATGGGTATCGCAAGAGTGGCTTTCGTGTATCTATGGTGCAACATGGACCCCGTTATGAAGTTATGGAACATCCTTTGGCCTTAGCTCGTTCGATTTGCTATCGCAAATTTCATTGTGCTTAATAACTACCCTTTTATAATATTATTCTCCTCGCGTTCTTTATACACGCGTTTATTCGCTGTCGTTATTTATGGACCGAGAAATCCTTAACCAAATTTACTGTTTTACTCGCAAAAATCTGGATGTAATCGTGTACGCAGGAATGGCTGAATGATGTTTGTGCAAGGTGGTATTGAACGTGATACATAAAATGATGTACGAAATGATTTAAAAAATCACGTACAACTTAATACATAAAATGACGCACACAATGGTTCATACAATGATATATAAAATGTTCTTCAAAATGAGACATAAAATAATTCATATACAAAATCGTACATAAAATGATACATAAAAAATGAGTCATAAATACAAAAAATAGTACAGAATATATAAAATGAAGGTCGAAAGATATATGGCGATATAACGAAGCATGTACCGTGTTAATAACGCACTTAGCGCTAATAAATTGTTGACGCAGTTAAAAAGAGTGGCCGTAGTACCGTTCTCGTATGTTAAAGCGATGAATCTGAGATCCAGCGAAAGGTTGTTGCACGTTGTTCATTAAAGCACACGGGATCCTAAAATTCATTAACCGTTCGATCAATAATGAACGTCTGGCGCGGATGTTGAAGCAGGCTCGTAGCAAAAGGTAACGCTAGTCATGGTATCCTAGATGAAAGGTGCCGCGCGATGTCGCGTTCGTAAAGCAGTTAAGCTTCCTCTTTCTCTTTGTTGTACATCGTTGTACACCGATCTTCTCTACGGTTTCTGTTAGCCTTCTTCGTAACCCTTCACGGTGGATACGACGTTCGAATGTCCTCACTCTGTCGATTACCACGGGATAGAAGACACAATGGACGGAGGAAAAAAAACCCACCTCTTCGTTAACTACGTTTCCGCATTTTTCTTGCCTGTACGGGCTAACGATCGTTGTAAATTTTCCAACAATTCGCTGTCCGTCTCTTCGCTGGTTGACCTCCTTTGTAACTCTTCTCCATCTAGGGATTTTAAAGGGATTTTCTCTTTAATTGCATTGCACTTGGATGTTAGTTTCAGAATTGGGACACAAATTAGGATATTTTGTAAAGGATATAGGGATTTGGGAATATAGGGATGTGGGGATTTTGGGGTCTAGGGTTGTGGGGAACTATGGATGTGGGGTTCTAGGGATGTGGGGATCTAGAGAGACTGAGATCTAGGGAGATTGGGATCTAGGAAAATTTGGGAACTAGAGAAATTTGGGATCTAGGGAAATTTGGGAATTAGGGAAATTTGGGATCTAGGGAAATTTGAGCACTAGGGAGGTTTGGGATCTAGGGAAATTTCGATCTATGATATTTGGGATCTAGGGAAATTTGGGAACTGGGGAAATTTGAGAACTAGGGAAATTTGGGATCTATGAAATTTGGGAACTAGGCAAATTTGGGATCTAGGAAATTTGGGATCCAGGGAAATTTGGGAACTAGACAAATTTGGGAATTAGGGAAATTTGGGATCTAGGAAATTTGGGAACTAGGCAAATTTGGGATCTAGGGAAATTTGGATCTAGGAAACTTTGAGATCTAGGGAAATTTGGGAATTAGGGAAATTTGGGATCCAGGGAAATTTGGGAACTAGACAAATTTGGGATCTAGGGAAATTTGGATCTAGGAAACTTTGAGATCTAGGGAAATTTGGGAACTAGGGAAATTTGAGATCTAGGGGTTTTTGGATCTAGTGATCTAGGGATTTTGGAATACAGGGTTCCGGTGATGTAGGGACTTGGAGATATAGACATTTGTCAGTATAGTGATTTTATGTTATAAAGATCCACTGATCTAGAGACTTGGTTCTGTAGGGTGATCTAAGGATTTCTGTACGCAAAGATCTACCGATCTAGTAAATATTTAATACAGAGCTCTGACAATCCTTTACTTGCAGTACCGAAATATGAAAATATAGAAATGCATAAATTTTAAAACATATCGAGTACTAATTTTAAAATTGATGCGATTAAATATGCATTGAACCTAACAAATCGAAACGCAACGTAGGAGTAGAATTACACAGATAATATTTACGGTAAGGCAGCATTTAAGTAGTTAAACCGTAAGACTGTTTAGCATTGTAAATACGAAAGGATAATATCGCGACTTAAATAGCGAAGCGTTTTAAGCGTTTTCCAAAGCATCGCATTCGTGTCGCTAACGGTCCGATGCTTTCGTTCGATGTTTCAGATTCTCAAATGGAGCAGGGCTACCGGTCCGAGGTCCAAGAAAGGGCACTGGTCGTATCCTTGCAGATGTTCAATCTGATTTTAGAACGTGGCGTGTCCTTGTTGAAGTCTCAGTTGGACAGCGGCGAAGAACCGAGGATGGTTGTTAGCGAGGACATGCAAGTCCTTTTACCAGCTATCAAGGTATTTCCGTTATCTATGGCATATCTAATGGAACTTCTACCAGGATTTCTTTTTTCCGAGAAACTTTCACCGTACCGAGAAAAAACCTGTCATTCTACTACCATCAATTTAAGCGATCTAACGATCGCGCACAATCAAGTTCTTTGCTATTACAAATTAAATCACTTGGAGGAGTCTTTTAAATTCTTAACTCGTGTTCACTCGGACGTTTCTGATTGATTCTGGAATTTCTTCAGACTTGTATAATTGTTTACATTTCATTTATATGTTCGATAGAATAATTCAAATTAAGTTCAGATTAATTCAGATGTTTAAAGGAGACACTTTTAAGTGCGCGATTGTTGCACCATATACCATATTTCTGGACTAACATCATTCATTTTCCAAAATTAAAAAATTAACAAACTAGAAATTTTGCACTATAGAATTGTTCAATCCTGCATTACAATGTACCTAGACATCAAAGTCCAAAAGTCTTGAAGCTCCAGATGTATAAACTGTTTCAAAGTTCCATAATAAAATCCCAAAGTCTTGAAGCTCCAGATGTATAAACTGTTTCAAAGTTCCATAATAAAATCCCAAAGTCTCGAAGCTCCAAATGTATAAACTGTTTCAAAGTTCCATAATTATGAACTGCAATGAGAAGTTAAAAATTGTCAAAGTGCAATGAAAAAGTTAGAAGTTTGAAATCTTTGAAGTCAACCTTCGATATCAAAATATATTTTAATTTCGTCAAATAACACCTTGGACAATAATGATCGCCATAATCCTGGCATAAGCACCCAACAATTGATGAAGCGAGAATCCAGGTTTCGCACCCACGCAAGAACCACCGGTGGCCGTTGTCAGCTTCCTTGGACCTGGTTCGCTCGTGTTCCGACTTATTATGCAACCCCGGGTTCACGATTAATGCACCCATCGCACGTAAGCTATGCACGCACGCTCCATCGATAAAGGTCAACCCTATGACAAGCCATTGGAACAGCGACGTCACCGGTTTCTTCCTGCTTTTCCAGCCGGTGCAGCCTTCGATGCTCGTCGATCGAGATACTATCGCCTTTGACTTTCTTATCTTTTGAATCCTTACGTCAAATATTCTGTTCATATTCTGCTAGGATTTAAGAGCTTTTTTGCTGCTGAATTGCTGATTATTATCTAGCTGGTTATTATGTAGCTGATTATTATATATGGCGATAGGTATTGCGAGGTCACAGTTTAGGGGTGCATCCACATTAGAGACCGAATTTATGGTGTCAGCAACTGGTGCTAGTTTTCCTAGTAGATAGTAGAATTTTTGGGCTTTTTACTTTACTTGTGCTGGGTTTGTCGTTGGAAAAGGAAAATGGTTTCCTTCCTTTTTGACTTCTCGTCAGAAAAGAGAATTTCAGATTTTACTCTTGGAAGTTTAAAAATGAGAAATGTCTAAAATCTTGAACTTGACAAATCTTTAGTAGTCCCTAATTTGGAAAGTTTCAACTTCTCAACATGTTTTTTTTATATTCCAAAAATTATGGAAGTTTTAATATTCCAAACTTGTAAAACTCAAGTTCCAATACTTCCAAAAGTCAATACTCCCGAGGTCCAATACTCCCAAGGTCCAAGCCTCCCAAATTCCAATACTCTCAAGGTCCAATACTTTCAAGGTCCAACCCTCCCAAATTCCAATACTCCCAAGGTCCAACACTCCCAAGGTCCCACACTCCCAAATTCCAATACTCCCAAGATCCAATACTCCCAAGATCCAATACTCCCAAATTCCAATACTTTCAAGGTCCAACACTCCCAAGGTCTAACACTCTCAAGGTCCAACACTCCCAAGGTCCAACACTCCCAAGGTCCAACACTCTCAAGGTTCAACACTCTCAAGGTCCCACACTCCCAAATTCCAATACTCTCAAGGTCCAACACTCCCAAATTCC